AAGAAATCAACAATTTGAAAACRCCTAAAATTCTACTTCAATTTGATAATAAAAAGGAAGGGAGGAGGAGCTCATTGAAAAATACACTAGAAACCTCATATGCGAGTGTGTTCTCAGAATACCTAAAATTCCACTTCATTTCCGTAAAATAGAAGCGAGCAATGCAATGAATTCATTGAAAAAAGAATAATGCGTCTAATTCCAATTTCCGGTACGTGAATAAATAATTTCTATTAAAACAGAAAATTCGGAAAAGCCCCATTGAAAGGGAATTTTAAGGGCCCTTTAAGATTAATGTCCTTGAATTTCCTGATACGTTGAATTATAATAAACTTCTACACAATTTCGACTTCGACWAACATATGCTTTAAATACATGTGTTGGTTCAATCGCACCATACTTTAAGCAACAAGAACATTTATTCATAAAATTCGCAAATTGTATTTAAAGGTATAAAGTTATTACTAATTTTAATTTTTTTGCTATTACGCGCTAGACTACTCAGTTTTTCTGATAGAAATATTTTTCTTCAAAATAATATGAAAATATAATCGCTCATTATTATTTCAGCTGTTTATTTTTTATTATAAAAGTTTCTGTTTTTCACTTTGTGCTTTCATCCTAAATCTAATGCCCTTTAAGTCATAAGTGTTGTCTTTCAAATCCACTAATTATTTTTAAAGAAAGACTTGGAAAGACATAAAATATAAAAATGATCGGAAGCGGTTACGGTTACTGTAACGTATAATAATACACCGACTTTTGTTGTGATTTTCAGCAGTGACCTTAGAATAATGTCTGGCTGATGGCTATCAGCCTATCATTGTAAAATATACAATGGCTAAACCTGCACTGACCTGAATATTATAATAACAGGGGCTAACATAATGGTAATGACCTCAGTAACGTACTAATAACAATATCCGAGAAGTTTTGTCAGATTTCATCTGAAAAGCAACACAAAATTGTTATTTTTAAACCACCCATCATCTACGTATTTAAGTGTTCATGCACCTGCATTGTGGCTTTCTCCGAAAATATTTTATAAACACTGCAGTTTAAAGCTAAAGGCGACGTCTTCCTGCATCCTCGAAAAACAGAATACATACTCGAAATTTCAAATACACGATACGCTAATAAGTATTTTAGCCAATGTTAACAACTTATCACTTTTTTGATTGAAAAGTTAACAATTTCTCTTAGTTAGTCGGCTACGGTATATTTACAGTGTTAATTGTGCGTTACCGCTAATTACAATGTGCAATATCAATTAAGAGATAACGATATTGAAACTCAAATTGCCTCGTGCCCGCTTTCCTACACGAATATCCCGTTATACCCATTTAAAGTCGAGCAAATTAAGTTTGTTAAACGATTTTTTCAGAAAACTTGGAAAATATGAAATTTTGCTGCATTAATTAGGTACTTTTTGTGCTATGACTTTTTTTCATTAAATGCTCATTTCTATCAACACTTGATTTCAAGTTTTAATGAGTAAATGGTAGTTGCATTATTTGCTGTTATCAAAAATTAACGAAATCCTAATTTGTGAGTTTGGAAAAATAATTTAATGACATTGTACTTGCCAAGTATCGAACAGAATTAGTTAAATTCGGGAATTCCTTTTTTTTTGAAAGATTTACACGAAAATTATCTATCATTAGACGAAAATCGAAAAAATTGTGAGTGTCAAATAAATGGGTGTACCAAAAATTCATTAAAAATCATTATTGGTTGAGGTATGATACACAAGAATTTTTGCATTCGCTGCTTACATTTGAAGGGTTGCTTTAGTATTGAAACTAACAAATGCCTAATGCATGTGGTTGAACTTCTTTCTGGTTCAAATGGAATCTAAATAACAACGGCAGACAAATATCTCTCGTTTCAGTGTTAATTTGTGATTTCTTCTGAGGCGCAAACCCTTCAAGGGATTATGTAACTTTTTACAGAGTTTTACCCGCTGTGCCTTACAGAGTTTGCAACCCAAAACAAGTAGTCATTAAAATCTGAAACGAGTAAATTGTTTGTGCTCTTATTCGATTTTATTTGAACCAGCAAGCCATTTAACTATTTTGATCCGGATCGATTTGATCTGGTTCAAATGGAGTCTGGAAAATAAGACCACTCCAATATTACTTGTTTGAGCTTTTAATAATGACTTATTTCGGGATGCAAAAAGAAACAAAAATATGTTTGCAATTGGGTGTCAACGCTAGTAGAAAATGGAATATAAATAGTTTCTTGCATTAAATGTACTCTACATTGAACTGCCTTCAAAATTCAGATCAAAAAGTTTGGCCCATGCTATATAGAATATGTGTTATTTCTCTCAATCACTGCAAAACATGTTGCATGGTCCGAAAAACATTCATATTGAATTAAACTTTAAATTACTAAAATCTTATTTTTAAATTGTGTTTAATTTTGTTCATTGATTAGTTTGCAAAATTGTAAGGTGCTCTCAAAATCATCTTCAAGTTTTTTTAATGTTGTATTAAGAGTACTTTGTTAAATAACCAGTTAATTTATTGGAATTTAGGTATGGATTTTTAATAGTGAAAAAAATTAATACTGGTAAATATTAAATTTGTTTGTGGCTGTTTGTTCCCTTCAAGTTCCGTCTTTCTCAACCGTATCATATCATAATCGAATTAGTCAACTACTTCTTGTGCAATTCCACGCCATTGAAGCAAAATTTCAATGTTTATCACATTCTTTCATAAAACCGGAAGGAAAAATCAACCCAACTGCAATATTTAATGATATATAATTAGCGAAAACATTGCTTCCAATTAGTATCTACTTTTCCATTTTAAATCAATCAATTTTAATTTACTACCAGTCTATTCAAATCTGCGTCTATTCTATTTCCGATCATTCCAGTTATCTCAAGCAAATTAACTGAAATGTTGCTAAAAATACTTGACACACATTGCGCAATAGAAGGTATCTTGTTTGATCATCCATACTACACGTTAGCGACCGTCTAAGTTCACTGAACGACCTTACAGCAAAAAAACTATCAGCAAAATAGCAGCTTGGGGCTAGAAGTATTAAGATTGAATAACTCAAGCTCGAAAACCGGTAACCGTTACTTGCAGTTAGATAGATAGAGGAATTATCAGAAATGGTCAGTCCTCCACAGAAAAGGGACTTCTGCATATGCAGGTTAATAAAGATTTGGCTTAACGGTTGGAATAGTCTTATGGGACATGTTTTGAATGATGCCATCAGGCACTCGAACAATGCTTGGAAAGTGGGCCTTATTAAAAATGTTCTAACATTCTGGTATCATTAGCATCTCGATGATGTCTTTCTTTGGATTAACCTGGATATTTATTCATACCAAATGTAAACATTGTTAGTAAACAATTCTGTTCGGTAGAGAAACAGTGATTGCTACATCAGGTGCGTAATCAACTGGTAATGTCGAAATATAGCTTTTTAAATACCACGCCTCTCGATAAGGACTCTTCTCTTGGTCGTTGTGTAAACTTAACTTATGTGGTTCTCAAAACAATTAACTAACTGCATTGCCTACGCTGATATCCTTTTTCTGTTAGTTTTTGCTCATGTGAAATTAAAAATTAGATATTAATGTAGGTTTATAAAAACACTATTTACGCTATTAATTGAAAATTAGATCACTTCAAAATGAATCGTTTTTGGTATACTTAATTCGGACTTGCTAGATAGTTCCTACACCGGTCAGTTAGTAAATGTTTGATTAGACCCTAGGTTTGAGTTAATAATTTTGAAAAAATGTTCAATATTAATTTGAGTGCATTATGATGCGTGCTTTTGTGCCCTTTCTATTCATGAGAATTTCGAACTTAATTGGATGCAAAACTAAGCTTCCGTTGAGCGGTTTGATGCAGTTGATTTTTGCCACTTTTGACTACTTGTTTCACTTCCACGTTTTGTAAGACTAATATTTAATTAAAACATTCTACCACGTCTTGGTTGGAAAACGTTGGAAATTACAATGCACAGTTTGTGCTTAATAAATCGAAAGCTCTTGCCGCAAAATTTAATCCAAAACAATTATTTTGCAAAATGCTGCCGAAATAAAGTAAACTATTGTTATTATCATTGATTTTTTAGAACGAAATATTCAGAAAACACCAGTTTTCACACTAATGATGTTGAAAACGTTGTTTTGGTGCGAAATTCGATAACTTTTAGTTTTAAACCATTCTGAATGTCTTATAATTGTCTTATAATATAAATTATATAATTGTCTTATAATATAAATTATAGCTTTTTCTAAAAAAATACAATCTTAGAATAAATTTATAGAATCTTTTGTTGCTTTGTGTAATTTTATCAATTATTCAGACTATGTAAGTTTTTACGGCAAGTCAAAGTATCGGTTGAGAAGTTTTCGTGGCTTTGAATGAAACATTTCAAGTATGTGAATGTGAAAGTCTAATATTTTATTACATCATGAATTTAGATAAAATCGAAACATTTTCGTCCATATATTTTGACTGAATCTAAATCGACAATATTTATAAACATTTCATAACCGCCTTAACCGTTTAAACGGTAATATGCAATATTTTCATTAAGCAAAACGAACAGCAAGTACCTAGAAGGTTGCTTTTAAAAACTGTACCTATTTACTTTTTTCGTTACCGTTTTAAGAGTATTACTCAATAATGCAGATTTATTTAATTGGTCGAACACCTAATGCTGGTTATAGCTTTGAAACCTATATTATTTCATTGTTTTAAAATCAATTGTATTACCGGTACTAACCCTCAATTTTTCAATGTATTTTAGACTTTATCAAATACAAAATTCAGCCTGAGTCACGCAAATTAAGTGCTGTCATTGTAAATGAGAATAATATTTAAATTTAAGAAAATAAATGTGGCAAATGCTACATGGTTCCATCTTCCAGTTTCTAGTACTACGTTTGTTATCGCTTAAACCTAGAAAGCTGGCGCCATCTACGGGTGAAGTTGTCTATTAACAGGTACCACTTGTTTCAGGTACGGTCGTCTTAACGTACTGCGCTGGCTACTGTGGGAAGCAGAGTCAAGAGAGGGCAGCACCATCGGCAGCTGCGGCGGCATGCCCGCGTTGGAAAAAGGTGCCGCGACCGCAGTGGGGGAACCACATGGTCCTCCCAACGGAAATGCCACTTTGGCGCTTCATTATGCCGCCGCTAGAGGATGCTTGGACTGCGTTCGACTTTTGGTGGATTCCTCAGTCGAATTAAGGTAGTTTTTCTAATTTTGTTTCCTAGTTTGTCTAGTATATCGAACAGTCTTCCTCTAATTGGTATACTATTGCAGTTGAACTTTTTACGAATTTGTAATTTTTCCAAAATTGTATGTTAAAACGCGAAAAATGTGCCAAAGCATTGCGATAGTTCAATCCAGTATTAATATTTCTCAATCTTAACATTTTATTAATTCTGTCTCTTTTCTATGAATGTATTATTGGCATTTTAGTCGAGCTTTGGATTCAATTTATTTTGTTGTACATGCCACAGTTACAGTCGTCTAAACTTTTTAATAAAAGTTTTTAGCTTTTTCATTAATTTTACTACAATTTTTAGACTTTGGCCCTTTACAGTTGTTCAAGTTTTGTCTAGCTTTTATAGTTCTCGTAATCAGGTTTTCCGCAATAATTTTCTTATGGTCTTTTATTACTTTGTCTCTATTCTAATAATCATCAATTCATTTTGCTGCTTGAGATTTCAAATCAGCAATATTCCAACTATGGCTATCATATTCAGTTATTACTGTTTGGTCTTCTAGTAGAAACTAGAAAACTCCTAAACATCTTGTCTGCTCTGTTACTATATGCAAATTATTTATTTATTATTTTCTTTAGGAACAATTATGACTGATCAAAGGTTCTCTGCAATTACTGTTTGGCTAACAAACCGACATTTAAAAAATGACAAAAACCAATAAGGATGCATAAAAAAGTTTATTTTACCATACGGATGTAGGATATCCGAACGCCATAAAGTATACTGACGATGAGTAGTCGTCTCAGCAACATTTTACATTTTTCATATTACGTAAACTTAGAAATAGCCTAAAGCCCAAAAGAGAAATACTAAAATCTCATGATTTTTTTGATTTAGCACTATTCAAATCGCATAATAGCATGCTCTCTTTCAATGAGCTAAGTTAGCTTCCTTAGTAGGTTAGCATTGTTATTCTTTATAGAAACGAAAAGAAAATAGTAGAAATGATCACGACAAACTAGCCAGGTGGGTTTTAAAAACGATTTTACCTCCACATACGCTTTCTTCACACGTTTTGTGAGCCAGTTCATAAAAATCACGTCAGTCAAATTGATGACCATTTTACGTTCATTACGGATGTTACCCATGCACTGAATGCTTGTTAGCCAGCTTCCCATTGTTTTATGTTCGTTTCGCTTTACAGAAATACACTTTTTTTCACGGCAATGCCTATTAAATGTTTCAGATTTAAAATCGTGCCGCATTTAATGATTGTTTAAATCGCACTACATTTATCGCTTGAAAAGTAGTAAAAAGTAAAAAATAATGATGGAACATAAATCAATGATTTTTGGAAAATAAATAAACGCGATAGTACAGACTAGATTTTTGAAAAGTGTATTTGGAATAGTTCTGGAGTAAAATTAGAAGGGAATTGTTGAAAAAATCGAACCTTTTAGAATTGTCCTCAGCTATTTGTCGGTTTCTTACTCAAATTTAATTTTAACTCTTATTGACGATTTTTTCAAACTTTATTTTCACTCATTTGGGTCGGACAATTTAACGATTTTTTGACTGATTGCGACATCAATTTATAAAGTTAATTAATTCACATGCCCGCACAACCAAATAAGTAACAAACATTTAAATTTCCCGACTTAACTAGACATGAAAAATGTTGTTCAGGGCAAAAAAATGACAACTAGTCGTATCTACAATAAAAACATATCTTCCTCTACAAAAATCCCCTCTGATTTTATGAAGCAAAGTTATAACAAGTTTCCCAAACAATTTATATAGTTAAATTTAGGACTAATACTAGAAAATATGAAATGAAGGCAATGCTGAAAATTGCTTCCAAATCATTGTGAAGTCTACTGGTTTGGAAGTTGATGAAAATAAAATAAGATTTATTATCTACCCTCGAATATTTCATAGAAGCAAAATCACTCTAAAATGCAACTACTGCGAAGTGATTAAAGGCTGCTATAGAAAAACAGAAAGTATTTCTATTTAGAGCTTCGATTTGCAATTTAATGAAGAAAAAATTGCCGTTGACGGCAATTCAGCATCTCAGTCGAGCTATAAACTTTCTTGATCGTCGCTCAATACACGTTTGATGTGACATTTTAAACGCAAGAATATTCCCGACATCTTTTTACAATAAGATTCTAAATGCAATTCTATATACAAGAAATGGAGGGCTTGGGAGAAACTAATGGCCAGGTAACAGTCCAAACTTGGCACATCAACCTTGGGAAAAAATTGCGGATTTCAACCATAGTCTTTAATTGAAAATATCAAAACTTTCAACTCAAGAAAGATATATAAAGTGTACCGAAAAGTGAAAACAGATATGAAATAGTTTGCTTTGAATAATTAACCATATGCGCGTTCGATATTGCTGTCTTAACATATAGAAGAATAGTGGATAATTGAAGTTGATTTTCCTACTCCATTTTCTCGATAATAGCAAAGGCATGTTCCTACATAACCATGCCAAATAAGAATAATATCTTGTCGCTGATTGTAAGCAAATATGTAATATCCTTATTAGTCTTGGTTATTCATATAACACTTACATCGATATAGATACTACTAAAGTGTTAATTTATAACAGTACTAGTTGGAAACCGGGTTATAAGCCAATTATAAAACTTGTATAGTGGCGTTGATAATTTCATAAACACACTCTGTTGTTTTAGATGAAATATGTGGAACAATAGCATGCGTACCATGATATGCCTCGTTGCTGCATATTAAAATATAAAACGTGAAGAGGCTAAATCGCAAAAGCGCACTAATTATTAATAAAACTGGTTGAACATTTATTTTAAATACTGTGTCAATTCTAATTTAGACCTGTCCAAAAAAGGTGTTAATTAACATTCCATGGCTATATTAATTAAATATGTAAATATTCCCATAGATTGTGGGTAAATGCAATGCGGAAAAGTGCTCAAAGCTTAAGCAGTTTGGTTCAATTCATAGTTAGCAAAAAGGCTTACTTCAAAAGAACTAAAGCAAATAATGAATGTGGGCTAGATTCAAGTGCAAAGTTAAGAATCGGAATAAATTCATCACCCGTAGTAGCAGGCGGGACTCATAGAAACAGTTCTTGAAAATTATTGAAATACTCATTTTAAAAGAGGTAAAGCAAATAATGAATGTGTGGTAGCATCAAGTAAAAAGTTAAGAATCAAGTGCGACGCCTTGAAGCAATTCTTTTAGTTTTGCCCGAAAATATAAAAGAGCATTAAATCAATGGAAATTAACAGAATAAGATATTGTTTTTTTGTATGAAGTTTACAAATAAATTATAATATTTTTTAAAAATTATATTTTTTTAGTTTGAGTAAACTTATAAGCCAATGTTTCTTACTTATTAGAATATTTTAAACTGCTTATTGCAAATTGTAAAAAAATGTAATCCTGTCACTGTACATCAGAATTCTAAGTATTTCTTTTCCCTATTTGTTGAGTAACACGAATTATGGAAATGCTGGAATTAATATTTGTGACTTATTAGAAACGCATACACTACCACTCGTTTAGATGTATTCAGCTTTCTTAGTAAATCAACATGATTGTAGCGAATTTCTGCAGTTTTTTTCCTAATAGCAGCCGAGAAAAACGAAATTGTAAGTATTACTCTAGTGAATATCTACTTTTGAAAGATGTAAACATTTATAAGCTAGAAATAAGTCAAAATTACTTTATCAAAATACGCAATCCGATTGTTTAAAGCAGGTAGTTGCAAGATCATACATTGAATCCCTGAAGTCTAGTTGTAACTGTAGAAATTTGCATGTGAAGTTTCAATTCAGAAATCTGTTCTTAATTGTCTATCCAGTGATGTAGAAATAAGCGCGGTAGTTCAATTTGTTTCTAAAATATGAGCTCAAGGTGAAGTATGTTTGAAATTATTAAAGCTGATTATGCACCCAAATGTGCAACATTCAAATTTTGTTTTTTATTTTTTTCCTAATTCAAGTTTTACTTGGTATATAAGCGTTTAAATTATTTAACCACAAACAAGAGCTGGACATCAAATGTGGCCATAATTATGAAAGTGGTCTAATTTGTTGTTTCGAGATATTTAATGAATTGCATTTAAATAAATTTAAAAATATTTTTACATTATGCGACCTTTTTAATCATAATTTTATTAGTCTTGATTTATTGAAATTTATTATCAATACGGAATTTTGTGTGAATTTTATACGAAAATGTTTTTAAAGCTGAAATTGACCATTTTCAAAAAGATCTGAATATCCTATAAATGACAAAGCAATAAAGAACTATGCGTTTTACTTGAAATAATAACTTTACTGAAATAATTCATGAACATTTATTAATTATTTAAAAAAAAGTAATCCATTTTTCTATCATTTCCAGTTTTTAAGATACTTAAAATGTTCCTGAAAAACTAGAGGAATGTATATTAGTAAACACATAATATCTTTGTTTTTCTTTCTTTAATAACCTACTGGTGGTGTATAATAGAAGTAGCTTAACATTTCCGTATATTTTTGGTTTTCCTCTTTGAGGCGAATAATCCAAAACGTAAAATTTAGAATCTTCTAATCAAATTTTATAGAACATTTTATAAGCTTTAATTTTCAAGAACCTCATCCATTGTATTTGCAACCAAGAGACAGATTCTCCTGCAGTATTTTTTACTCTTCTTGTTTGCTCGTTAACGTCTTTATTTGAACTGATTTCATCATTTGTAGAGTTCTGCTTGTATCTGGACTTCTTTCTGCTACGTATGTTATTATAGGCTGACGTTTGCGCGTTTAAGTATTTGTTTTTCCAAACAATTTCTCTCAAACTTCACGAAATTCGATCCGCTTTCATTGTTTGCTCTCTTACTTCGAGAGATAAATTTCCATGGCTCGTTATATCTGCTCCCATATATTTGAAACGGTTAACTTGTTCGACGATCTTGAAGTCGATTTTCAGCTTGCAGCTTATCGGTTTCTTTGATTCATATCGATGAAACACATGTATGCGGGT